CTCCTTCTGACATCCAATGCTCTCCAAATCTTGGGCCCTTTCCCTAGCCAAGTATCGCACACACAAGGCATCTCCAACCTCCCTGTTTCTGCTAACCAGACCTCCTTTAATCCTTCTTTGGTTCCCCTGAAGTTCCCACCTTCAGCCTTTTCCCTGTGTCCCCTTTAGAAGCCTGCTCCTTCCCCTAGTCAGACATCTCAGTTTCATAAGTTATGTAAAAGGCAAGTCAAGTTCAACCTCTTTGGGAAAACCTTCCATCTCTGTTTCAGCCTGCACTCTTGTTCTCTCTGAACCTTGACCCCCTGCAGCATTTCCTTTTTAGAGTAAGTAATGTGGCATCTAATTCTTTTCCATCTTGTATTATTTGTAGATGCTTCCTCCAAGTAAGAATTACTCTTTTCTTTGAAACTGTGAGTGTTTATAGAGCAAGGTCTTTGCTTTTTCCCTTTTCACCAAAACATGGGCAGAGGGATAGATCCAGGAGTGAATTAACAACTTCCGCTGCCCTGCCTTACCTCAAAACGAAGGGAAGAAGATAAAATTGAACACCCTCTGTCTGTGCCCCTCCTCGCTTCTAAAATATATCCAGGCAGCAGAGCAGCCCAGGCTGCCAGAGAGGCCCCAGTAGCCAACCTACTGTCAGATCCCAGCTTCCTGAACACCCCTATCTCCAAAGGGTTTCTGGGTGATCAATAACTCTGCTTAAGTGATCAATCTGCAACACAATGGGCTGCATGGGCCAGTGTTTGATTAACTGGAGAGAATAAATGTATGCAGGCAGGCAGCAACTGAGAGGGGGGAAGCTAAAGAGTGAGCAAGGAGAAAGATGAGCTGGGGGAAGGCAGGAAAGGGGGTGTGTGTTTAAGAGTGAGAGAGTAGTTCTTACCTGATCCCAGTAAACAGCCTAACCAAGATTCTGTCCAAGGTAGGTAAATAATCCTGGTGCTTTCTGGGAACCTACTAACTAGTCTGGGGCTGCTGGGCAATTCTGTAGCTTGACCGAAACTATTGCTAAGGTCCACTGAGGTCTACACAGACTCCATGCTGGCTGGAGAAAAGGTGCGATGTGCGGACTTCTGGCTATCTCTAGGAAGGACTTGGAGTGACTATGCTCACCTGCTGAGTCTATAAGAAAACCCAAGCACTGTAATCTTCTACTCTCCCACCCAAGTCTGATGACTCAGAAACCTTTGATGTTATGGGAGATAGACTAATCCTTACAAGGTGTTTCAGCATTACCTGCTCTCTACCCAGAGGTGTACATACTGTTCTTTCTCTCAAGACCATGAGGCTGAAGGTTTAATTGAGTAGTTAAAAATAAAGAGTGCCTTTCAGATTTGTTTGAGAGGGTCCAAATATCTAAGCTGTACTACGGATCAAAAAATGTTCAGGAAAATATAATGTTATCCGGAAAAAAACAGCAGATGGCTTTTTACTGTGAGAAAGTTCCTCCTTTAATCTAACCCTGATTCTCGCTGCTCTCATTAAAAACACATTCTTTACATATGATGACATCCCTGTCCTCTAGGTGATGCAGGCTTGAAGCCTTGGAATCATCTTTCTTTCTTCTTCCTTCTCCCATCCTGCTTACCATCAGTAGGTAAATCAATTTCTTCTGCCTCCAACACTACCTATCTCCTTCATTCTGCTTCTGTCCAGCTACTGTAAAAACCTCTTAATTGGTCTTCCTATCCCAGGATGAGTCCATTTCCATCAATCTACTGAATAGGGGTGGGGAGGAGAAAAAAGAAAAAAAAACATAATGAAGCAAGGAATTAATTTCAATTTACAGAGAATGAAGGGAATAACAGAACAGGAGAAATGACAATAAGAAGCCCAACCAGATGATAAAAAGCAAACCAGAATGTGGGGCATTGTGCAAAACAACCAAGTCAGAGCAAGGGGCCTATTGAAAGGGCCTTAGAAGTCAGAATAGCCAAATGCAAAAAGATTCAAGTGAAGTTCTCTTGAATCTTGATTCAAACAAGCCAGTTGTACAATAAGTTTCGAGACAATTGAGGATGTCTGATTAAGGATTGGGTAATGGATGCTATAAAAAGATTGTTGTTACTTTTGTTAGCTCTGTGAATGGTACTGTGGTTATGTGAGAAACAAATGCTCACTGTTAAGAGCTGCGTTAGGGATGAAATGATGTGATTGACATTTGGAATTGCTTTTCAAATACTTCTATAAAAGAAAGGATAGATAAAGAAAGCATGGCCAAGTCCTGGTGATTGCTCATATGTGGGTAATCGTTATACAAGTATTGTGATACTTCTCTTCCCGTTTAGAGGTTGAAACTGTTCATAAATAAAGAGTAAAACCCATAGTCATTCACTACCTTCCTAGCTCGAGTGTCCATACCTAGCCTACTCTGTAGATCAACTATCCCATGGTCTTTCTCAAGTTCTATCTGCCTGAATTTAATTTCTTCCCTCATGTGTCCATTCCCACGCTCCACTGAGCTCCCCAGTCAGCATTAAGTCTTTCTTCTACGCACCAGGTACTATAACACACAAAGATGACTGAGAATGAGGACAGGGATTCTTGTTTCCTCTAGATTCTCTCTGATGATGTGTATGAAGAGATGCAATAGAACCCCTCCCTACTCATAGGAGACAACAAACACCCAAACCAATTCAACAATGTTTATTTGGCACCTAGTATGTAAAACAAACACCTATAGGAAGCTTTACCTGTGTGTAAAGAATAAAGGATTCAAGCAATTCTAGTGGAATGTGCCAAATCACATACAAATGTGATGTATTACCAAATGCATTTTAGAGATGGGCAGAAGAGGTCAAGGGAAGGAGGAAAGAGGGGAGGCGTAAAGAATCTCTCTCTGTGTCTCTCTCTCTCTCTGTCTCTCTCTCTCTCTCTCACACACACAGAAAGAGAGACAGAGACAGAGAGAGAGACAGAGACAAAGACAGAGGCAGAGGTAGAGAGAGAGACAGAGAGGAAGACATAGAGAAAGACAGAGAGGAAGACATAGAGAAAGACAGACAGACAGACAGATACACACACACACACACACGAGAGAGAGAGAGAGAGAGAGAGAGAGAGAGAGAAACAGAGGTCACTTGTACTTAGAGAAGCCTTCCCCAGAGGAGGCAACTGCATGTAGACTTGAAGGACAAGGATGGTGTCATTTGGATGGGCAAAGAGAAGACTCGTGATGAGCCGATGGCACGAGTGAAAAGGCAGATGCAACAGTTGTATATAAAACATGCTTCGGAGACTGTGGATGGTCTCAAGGATCCATATGGGGAGCTATGTTTCAGAACCACTTGGGAGAGCTTGTTAAAATTCATATTCCTGGACTCCAGCTGCCAGACCTACTGACTCAGAAGCCCAGGCAGCTGCATTATAATAAGTACCCTGAAGTCATTTGGAGACACATTAAAAATTGAGAATCAATGATGTGGATAAAAAGTGAGAAATAAAGTTGAAAGAGTACATAGGATTAGGCTGACTCAAGGAAGGCCTTGAATGTCAGGCTAAGGAAGTTAAAGAATTTCCCACAGGCAATCAGCTATCATTCTCAAGCATGCAGAGCAGAAGTGTCTATGAATAATGGATCTTTGTGAATATTAATCTGGCAGGGGTGTATATTACAGGCAGAAAAAGAGAGAGACTGGTGAAGGACAGACGTTCAATAGTTGCAGAGGGCAGAAGTCAGAGGTGGTCTGTGCTTCCCGTCTGGGCGACTAGGAGGCTTGTGGTAGCAGAAAGGTCAGAAGAGCCAGTCATTGTTGGCAGTAAATGAGGTCAGCTCGTGAATGCTGAGTGCAATGTTAATGTTAAGTCTAAGATGATGGCAGACCACTTAAATTAGGTGAGTCATTCAGCAAGTAACTGTGGGTACATGGCCAAACCTCTGAGGCAAGGTGAAAACCCATGCTACAGAAGTGGGAATAACCAGGGAAGATGTATAAGGGGAAAGCCATGATGCAGCTGTATGCCCACTCCCATAAAAAATGGGGTTAATCCCAGCACTCGGGAGGCAGAGGCAGGTGAGTCTCTGTGTGTTCAAGGCCAGCCTGATTTACACAGCTAGTTCCAGGACAGGTTCCAAAGCTACACAGAGAAACCCAGTCTCAAAAAACCAAAACCAATACTTCCACCCCAGAAAAAAAAAAGAAAAGAAATGGGAGAGCAAGGGGAGCTCCCTCCCTTGCTGTTGGGAGATTCTGTAGCTTGACCCAAACTATTGCTAAGGTCCACTGGGGTCTACACAGACTCCATGCTGGTTGGAGAAAGGGTGTGATGTGCAGACTTCTGGCTATCTCTAGGAAGGACTTGGGGAGCTCCTCTTCTCAGATCTGAGGCAAGGAGGCGGGACTAGTAAGAAAGAGGACTAAGAAAGGCTCACAGGAGTAGAAGGAGTTCCAGATAGTTCAACTAGGCAGATACTCTTTCAAAAGCTTGGGGTGACTGATATGGCTACTGCCATAGTGGTATTGATGCTCAGAGAGAAGTCACTACTGATGTACCACACACACCTGCTTCTTTTCAGGATCACTAACACAAAAATAAAATCAGATTTATCTATTTACCCAACTTCCTGTCCAACCATCCTCCCATCCACCCATCCGTCTGTATAGTTCTCCACCTTTTTTCTTTCTTCATCCTGTTGCTGTGTCATATATGTATCCTCCAATTTCAAACTCACTTTTCTGACTAGAAGGGAGAAGGAACTATTGTGAACTAGGCTATCAATGTTCTACTCTAAGGTTGCTGTTCCTGGTCTGAAAAGAGGAAAGGATGGCCACTTTCTCTTCCATTTGCTCCCAACCCTTTCCCTTGGGCCTTTGTCTTCAGATTTCTCTGCAGACGGCAAGGTTCAGCTCATTTTGAGAATGCTCCATGTTGGCTGCAGAAAACATAAGAGAATGTTTATCTTTTCGAATTTATGGGGAGGAGGCAAACAGAAGTCCTTGAAAGATAAGGCAGACCAGAGTTTTCTGCTGCAAATGCTAATGGCTTCAAGGCTGCCTCACAAGCTGAAGCTGACTTGGGTGTGGCTACCATCTCAGTCCCCAGAGAAGAGACTGCTAGGTTCCATGTGAAGGTATGGACCCTACAATCCAAGCATGTCTTACTGGGCTACCTGCTTACAAATTCGATCCAAGTATGTGGATGGAGGTAGGGAGAGTAGAACAGATGAAGGAAGAGAGATAGAAAATTGCATGAAATTTGTATATGTGCAGGTGTGTGTGTGTGTGTGTGTGTGTGTGTGTGTGTGCGTGCATTTTTATGGTTTCAATTAGTTTGGAGATTCAAAAACGATGAGAGATCCTTTCCTTTGCATCTGTGCTGCCCCTTCAGGGTTCCTTGCCAGGGTAACCATAGAGCCCTATCATTTATGCAGATAAATGGGTGGGTGGATAGGCTCTTGTCTTGCACCCATACTCCCACCAAGAGCTGTCTTGGGATTACTGTAGTAAGGCCTTGCTGTTCCAGTGCTTTCCTTTACCCATTTCTCCTCAGGACTGTGGCTGCCTCATTCCAGCTCCTTCCCCTTTTGCCACCCTCCCAGCTCCAGAGCTTTCCTAGCCTGTAGATATCACCTGCAACCCCAGAGATTTCTTGTTGCACCTCGTCAGTCTACGACGTGCTTTCAAAGGATGGTGGTGGTAGCAACATCCCTTGGTCAGGCCATGTAGCTGGCTTCTCAAGCTCGGTGGAATGCGTCACTTCCCAGAGGGAGAGTCCCCTACCTCGTTCAAAATGGAGTTTGCAGCCTGCCAAGAGTTCCCAGACCTTTTCTTCAGCCTAGCAGAAGCCCCACTGCACTGTCTGAGGCCACAGTGCCAAGACATCATTAGCTTGGGGGCACTTGCTGGCTTTAGGCCCGTAGATTGGCCATTCTGCAGACCAGTGCAGCTCTGCAATAAGTCCAGAGCCAGGAGCCTAAAGCACCCATCCCCTATTTTCACCAGCCTTCTCTCTCCCTTCCTCCCTCCCTCCCTCCCTCCCTCCCTCCCTCCCTCCCTCCCTCCCTCCCTCCCTCCCTCCCTCCCCGCCTCTCGGCCTTCAGCCCACACTTGCACAGCAATTGTGGGTATGACATCTCCACACACAGCAATGCTTCTCTCTTGCTTAGAGCATATGCCCCTCCCTCCTCAGGATCCTGCAGTGGTTCCCAACTGTCTCTCAAATAAATTTAAATCTTATCTTTGTGGGCCTTAGCGCCCTCCATAATTGTATCCCCCCCCTCCACCACACACACCACACGAATCGTGTACAATTCAGGTTCAAACATAGGCACAGCAGACGCTGTTCACAAATGCTCCTGTCTGGAGCTGCCACAGGTGCTTATAAGACCTCATCCAAAGAGTGACTCCTCTGCCTCCTTTTAAAATGGTAAATGTTACCTGTGAGGTACAGGCAATAAAGTCCTATCAGCTATTAACAGCTTGCCCTGGCACGGATTCTGTCATCAAATTTGACAGAAAAAGGAGCAAAGCCCCGCCTTAATAGTCTAGGGGGGCGGGGGAAGGGACTTGGAGCAGTCCAGGATGGGCGGGGGGAGGAAAGGGGCTCTGACGTCGAAGCTATCTCTGTCACGATTTTACCCAGGGCTACAGTCTCCGCATCTCTACTTAAATCAGACACACTAGTCCTTGCTCCTCCAACCTTGCTTCCCTCTCCACACACACATGACGTCTTATTTCACCTTAAGGCTACAATCCTCAGGCCAAGCTACTAATTGGTTCCTTCACATGAGGGGGAAAAAACATGGAATTGAGTTGACGCAGCTTGTTTGCTTGGACATGGCCAAGTGTTATTGAGTTGCTCCTGTGGAAGAGCTGAGAGCCCTTTGCTTCATGGAAACAGTAAAGACTTCCCAGGAAAGCTCTCTCTGCTCTGAGAAAGCTAGAAACTGAGTTCCCCCAGTTTCTCCCGCAGTGAGCTCAACCCGAAGGGCAAGGGAAGGAGGGTCTGGGTCTCCCAGCAGCAGACTTTTGGGCTGAACTGACACATTAGGAGGGACCCGTAGGCTAAAGTGTGCACACTGCTACCCCAGTCTTCTGATGGAAATACTCACTTGGTGTTTTACTCTGAGTCAGCAGAGTTCCCCACCCTCCACTCCTGAAAAGGGCGCCCCCAAGGGAACCTTGCTCTTATAGCAGTTTCTTCCTTGGGCAGCAGGCCAGAGACAGCCCCGCCCTCCACAAGAGCTGCAGGATGCTGAGGACCCCCCCCCCCCCCCGTTCAGGGCTCTGAAGCTGGGCCAAAATGCCAAAGGGAGGGGCAGGTCTGGCAGAATTCATCCTCTACTGTGACCAAAAGCTTGTCAGTGGCAGCTGTGGGGAGGGGGTTACCACCTGCTTCTGAGGGAAAGTGTCAAACATTGGCCTGTGCAGTTTCAATGTGTGTGTGCACTTGCTCAGGTGTGGAGGGGCATGGATATAAGACTTGGGTATGCTTTTTCCCAGAATGGAGTTCTTAAGGGCTCTGGTAGAAGTGTCCACAAAAGCTTAAGAGGTGGGATAGTATTCTCTCTCTCTCTCTCTCTCTCTTCCCTCCCGCCCCCTCTCTCCCTCCCTCCCTCCCTCCCTCTCTGTATGTGTGTTTTTGAATCACCCGTGTGTGTGTGTGTGTGTGTGTGTGTGTCTGTCTGTCTGTCTGTCTTTGAACCCCTACCACCACCACCGTGTGTGTCTGTGTGTTGGTAGGGAGCAGCAGGTACTGGATCTGCAGTAATGTGCAGTTGCCATGTAGTTTCTTAGGGACACTTTAAGAAAATACACACACACACACACACACACACACACACACACAAGCTCCAAAGCACCAGGCTGGGAAGAAATGTGTGTATGTGTACATATTTCAGCAGAACTGGAGGGGTGCATGTAGTTGTATATGTTTGGATGACTGATTTGTTAGCATCAGGGTGGAAGGGTGCAAGTGCAGATGTTTGTGTGTGTGTTACTGTGTCTCTCTCTCTTTATGTGTGTGTCTGTGTGTGTGCGCGCGCGCGCCAGCGCGCCTGTATGTTTCGTCTTTGGATGGGGGTGACTGTGGTTGAGCGCAGCGAATGTGGTGCGGCTGTGTGTGCGTG